ATGGTGGTGGTGCGGTGGTTTAGTCGCTGTCACCGGCGTGTTTTGGAGGTTCGAGACCGGCCACCGCCACCTAACTTTGGTGGTAGGCATTTTTGCTGTCGTCGCCTTTCAACACCACGCCTGACCTAGTAGGCCTTATTTAATTAGCCACTCCAAGTCCCGGGGTTACCGGTTTTCATCACTGAGCAGCAGGTCCTGACAAGAGTGTTTACTGTTCGTCACACTAAGGTGTGTAATAAAAAAAATGGTCGTTTCAAGCACTCAACATGAAAAACCGGGCTTATACCAACCCAGGAAAACTGAAACTAATAAAAATAAGCGAATAACACGTGCGACCCCCCTCCCCTGCTCAGTGTAAATAGAGTCTCGGTTACCACAGTTTCAGTTCACTGTAGTTCGTTTGGTGATAGGTATCGGTCACAGGGTAAAACACGTCAGTTCAACTTGAGGAAAGTAAAGTAATTTAATTTAACGCGCATCAGGCGATCACATTTCGGAAGAGAAGAAAGAATCTTGAGACCGCAGAGCTAAGCTACCTCGTGATGTCTTCGGGAATCATCCATACAATACCGAGCCTAGATAAGGACATGAATGGCGCATGAGTAGCCGTGCCAAGAAAATAAATAACCCGGCTTTGCATGCGGCAAAGTAATGACCAAAATAAACCAGGGAACAAAATGCCTCAGTATGGTCGGGGTGGAGTGGGTATCTAGGGTTGCAGCTGGTCACGCTTCTCTTGCACCTCGCGAAATGCTCTCTCATACGACTAAGCGTCTCAAGTAGCCTCTGCTAATGAAACTACATTGGTCAAACGTGTGCGATATATATATTCCATAATAAGTAGTATGTGAATGATCGGACAAAATTTTCCTGGGTACAAGTATATGAGTGAAGTGACAAAAGATTACCGGATACGCATGCCTGACGAGCGGCAAGGACCGCGAAGCCGGTCGTATGCTTTCAGGGAAATTTTGTTCAGTCATTCACATGCTATTATGAAATATTCTATAAAGACCATCGAGTCACGTTTGTTGCGGTTAGTAGCATCTATCCCACTTACAAAAACATTGAATCATAGCATTGATTCTTCAATGGACTGGCTCTGAAGGAGCTGTCTATCCACTCTTCACCCGGTGATGTAAACAAGGTTATTGTGTCGAATATATATATAAATATATATATATATATATATCAAGCTGGCGGAAGCCGATTAGAGCTGATCAATTGTTTCAATGAATGATTTTCTGAGTGTCACGGTAGTGCTCGACAAAGGAAAACATACGAGTGCAACAAACGCAGTGAAAATTTCGATTGTAGGCCGCTTCATCGTAGCCCAACTCAAAACCACACCTATCCTCTTCATTACAAACATCAAGGTTCAAATTATCGATCCGTACCGATTGCCGGTCGTACGTGCTCATCACCACGGGGTTCATCTATGTCCATAAATCTTGGTGTTCTATATCAGCACTTTGCATAACTATTGCCAAGATTGTATCCGAATCGAGAGAGGAATTTATATCAGGAATACAAAATTTAAAAGCGAAACGAGCTGTATAGCAGAGATAAGGATGCGGTAACTAATCAGTCGTGGGTTCTTCCGAGACAAATCAAATAACTGCTGAAATTCTGTATCTTGTCAAATGTGACAAACACTGTTGATCTTGCAAGAACTATTTGGATGGTAGGTGAATAGTGAAAACAATTTCCAGGGGCAAACATTGCTGATTGCAGCCCAACTTCGAGTGATGTTTGTCGCCAATACATCATGGCTGCACGTATGGCTTCACGTATTCGAACCCTACCACCGTCTAACTTCCCCCTAGAGTATATATCACACAACACCCGTTTGGTTGACCGCTTATTCTTCAAAGAATTAAATGCACCAGTATATATTGAAAAAGAAAGCAGTATTGTGCTGCTAAACAACCAGAGGTGCTTTCAACTTAAACTCACTGAAAAAATAAATATCTTGTTACTTCCCTTTTGCTATTTATTGAATATATAAATGTACAGTCAACTTTCAGGAAGGGGGCTGCGTTCATACAAAGGCTACGTGGGGAAAATACAGATATAGGGAAGACAGGTGGCAGTGGAGTGGTTTGAACCCGGGACACCCCGGTCACTAGTTGGCGACCTAGACACTTGGCCACCACCACCACCACCACAGCAACTTGTAGAAATAGAAACATTTGAGCAAAGTACCCCATCCTGTTAGATAGCTCAGACAATAGTCACTAGGAGGCGAGGTCTGTTGCCAGTCTCTGCGTCACTAACAAAAGTCGTGATCGCCCACAGAGAGGCTTTTAGTCCTACGGATAAGTCAAAAGATCCGAATGAACGGAGAATTGTCAGAGGACAACCGAGTGACACAGTTTTTCATTTTTTTAGTACTTAGTTCGTGAGCAAGACTAAAAAGTGGAAAGAAGCATTTTACAACTAACGGACCTTCGGCAAGACAGATACATGCGAGGTGCTTGCGTATCTGTGACCGAGTGTG